ATCAATACTGATATATAAATAATTGAAAAAATAAATGAAGGAGAATAGACAGTTCTTGTTTAGAAGAATTTAATAATTCATGTAGTTACTCCACCCATAAGGAGGAGGGCTTAACTCCCCTCTCCTTAAGCGTGGGCTACAAGTACTGATGTCCTTCCAAAAAATACAGCAGGATGAGAAGGGGCTAACTTTACAGTGAACACAGGGAAGAAACCTGACAAACATCACCTCAGCCGATCAAGGCTGACCTAGACCGTGATAAGTCACATTGACTATGTGCCCTTGATGGGATGGTGATGAAAATGGCACTTTAGGTCAAAAGTCTTCTCCCAAACACTCCTAACCACCCCAGTCCAATCATAAGGAAAACATCAGCAAATCCCAATCATGAGACATTCTACAAGATACCTGACCAGTACTCCTTAACACTACCAAGGTCATAAAAACAAGGAACTTTTGAGAAACTATCAGCTCAGGGGAGCTTAAGGAGATGTAACAACTAAATGCAGTGTGGGCTCCTAGAACAGAAAAAGGACAACAGATAAAAACTAAGATCCAGATGAAACATGGACTTTAATGTACAGAGCTAATGCAAGATACTAATAATGGGAAACTGCATGTGGGGTTTGTGAGAAAACTCTGCACTATCTTTCTAACTTCTACAACTATTCTGAAAGAAAAAGTTTATTTATTTATTTTTTTAAAAGGGATGTACACACCTGATTCCAGTTATTAAGGAGCCTGAGGCAGGAGGATCGAAAGTTTCAGGATAGCCTGGGCAACTCTACAAGACCCTACCTCAAAATATTTTATTTTGGGGGACTCAGTGGTTGTGTGCCCCTGGGTTCAGTTCCCCCTGCTGGGAAAACCAAACAAAAAAGGGGTGGTGGCTTATCTTGTGACAAAATGATATCCAAGGATAGCAGTTATCAAAAACACACATTCCTAAAGATGAGTTAATTTGACAAAGGGGAGGGGTAAAAGGGATGTGCAGAAAGTAGGGTTGGTGGGAACCAGACCAACAGTCTAGAGGTGAGCAAAGGATTACACCAAACACCACAGACTTAGGAGTGTGGAGTCCAAAGGCCACACCCATGGAATACTCAAGGGAAGCTGCTCCCACCACCTACTGCTGCCACCACTCTTTTCTTTTTGCAATGCTAGGTATGGTATCTAAGGCCTCACACAGGCTAGTCAAGACCCTACCACCAAGCTACACTCCCAGTCCTGCCACCACTTGCTTAAGACCAGCCTCTCAAGATCAAGCTCTGTGCAGACATGCAGAATAGCACCTGTGGACAAGAGTGAAATTTACTTACACCAAGCTTTGCTAAGTGATGACCTGGGTCAGTGCTGCCTCACCACACACAACTGCAGAAGTACACTATGTTCTGTGCTGCTACCAGATCCAGAGCCACACCCACCCTCTCCTATTTAAACCCAACACCGGAAATGGAAATTTGGAGAGCTCTACCCTGAGGAAATTTGGTTTGTGACGTGCCCAACCCCCATCATCTGTCCTGATAATCCTTTTTTACCTGTTTGCTCTCTGAACATCTGTGAGCAACATTCTGGAGAACGGACTAAAGATGGAGTTCAAGCTGAGAATCAGATGAATGTAAATCTGGATCCCAGGTTCACCACATCCAAGTTAAGTGAGATCATGAAGGGTGTGATGAAGGAAGTGGGCAGGCATGTGCCTCAAGGGCAGGTTTGGATGTCTGCCCTTCCTTTTAATGACTCCATAGGGGGTCTACTATGCAGAGTACCATGCTGGATACTGGCCACACCAAGATAAAGTAGAAGATCTGTGCCCTTAAAGGGTTCACACACCATAAAAGGAGGTAAACAGAAGCAGGAGACAGTAGTAAAAAGAAAGTCCATGGAGGAGAAAAGCCCTTACCTCCTTGGGACTTGGGAGAACTTCACTAAGGAAGTGATAGGCAAGCTGAGCTTTGAGAATAAAGTGGAGAGAAGCAGCTTCCAGGCAGATGAGATGGACAAGAGCTTTCCAACCAAAGGAAACAGTATACATCCAGCCCAGAAATTCGGCAAGGAGAGGCTGTGTTGCATTGTGATCTAAGTATACACTCAATTCTAATCCTACCTCTGTTACTTACCCAGTAGTTCTCCACTGTAAGGTGGGGATGAAAAACACATCCTACTTCCTGGGGTTGTTATGAGGATAAAATGTGTATGCTTAAGGCCCATAAGAGTGACTGACACACAGTAGCAAAGCTTAGTTTAGCTTTAATTTATATTATTGTCTCTGCATACAGGAGATGGGACTATTTACTCTGAAAATAAGTTTCTTATACTGCCAGGCTATAAATGTAGAGGACTCCTTCAAAAAATATTCCAATTCTCTTCTGCCAAAGTTCTTGGAAGCATTATCACTTGAATTTGGGGACATCCTACCTCAAGCACTGCTTCTCAAGCAGCTCCAACAGAAGTGCCCTGACTGGAGCCAGGGGAGGAGAAATACAAATCTCAGGAATTTGAGAATCAAACCCAAGCAACCTGCTACTTCCAAAATATTGTCTTCAAGTTTCCTGTTTTAGCTTAAATTTATGCAAACTTTGCATTCCAATCTAGAATAGATCCAGGATGCTTTAATATGAAAATGCTTATAACTTAAGACTGAAGTTTCTAAAAGATGCAAAACCTTATCTAGTCAGTGCTTCTGAACATTCACAGCAGGTGAACTCAGGAGGTCTGAGAATCCCAGTGAGAGAAGTGCAATGATTGCCTTAGCATTCTCTTCTGGCAAATGGGAACGCAACCCACATTAGTTCTATTCAATATCTACATAAGGAGACAATATGTGAAACTATCAAGCAAAGTCCTAACCATAATAGCAGACATTTGGTACTAGTAGTAAATCAGAATTCTAGGGATGAGTTACTTCAAAATCCCAGCTACCTGCCAGAGGCAACTGCTATTTTGGGAGCTTCTGTTCCACATCCAGCACTGGACTAGCTCATTTACCCTTTGTCTTTTTTTTTAATATTTATTTTTTAGCTTTAGGTGGACACAATATTTTTATTTTACATTTATGTGGTGCTGAGGATCGAACCCAGTGCCTTGTGAATGCTAGGCAAGTACTCTACCACTGAGCCACAACCCCAGCCCTTACCCTTTGTTTCTAATTTTGCAAGATATTTAGTATTCCTGTCTTATTGGAAGAAACAGTCTCAATGAGGTCAAGAAACAAGCCTAAGGTCACACAACTGGTAAGCAGGGGAGTCAGGATGAGAATTCAGTTCTGGCCAACTCCTAAGCTCTAGCACCTTTCATACCACCATACCACCACTGTTGACTAGGAAAAAGTTACAGGAAGGAAGTTTTAAGAAGTATTTGTTTGGTGGGGATGAATTTAAATTTGTAACCTAATTCTATTTCCATGTAAATTCTAGTGAGACGAGCAAACAGTAGGCAGCACCAAAGGGAAATGAGAGGACCAATCTCAGGCCAGCTCTGCTGGTTCCCTAGTCCTCAGCCTTGCCCAGTGGGACCCCCCGGGTCCATTCACTTTTACTTTCATTTTCTAGCCATCATGACTTTCACTCACGTTCCCAGGAAATTAATGGCATGCAGACATCAGGAAACTCTTGGGCCCTGAAGGGTACTGGCTTGGGACTCCTAACAGTCATACCCTCCAGAGGCAGAGCAGAAGAGGTTCAAGAAAGAGGACAGGAGGATGGAATAAAGGTAGGGGAGGAAAATGGAAGCAAATGAAGAATGCCAGTGATGAGGAAGGCTAAAGGTAAAGAGTATGCACTTGTGCCCCTGCTTGCTCACCCTGCGTGTTCATTCATTTAACAAGCAGACCAGATGGGAAGAGGGCCTGCTATTAGCAAAGATGGGGTCAGATATGATCCCAAGCCCTGGCCCAACCACTTCTAACTATACAGTCTAGGCAAACTGCTTAAGTTCCTTGAGCATCATTTCTAAGGTGAGGACACTCACACACACCCCTATCTCGAGGTCACTCAGGAGCAATGTATGTGAAAAGAACTCTGTAATTTTACAATAATTTATAAATAGTAGTTGTTACAGTCCCCCTATAAGCAAACACAAAGGTAGAAAAAGGCCAACTAGATGTGAGAGGCAAGAGGGGAAGAGAGAAGCAGCCTCAGAAAGGAGGGAGGGGCTTCTATCCCACCAGAGCCTGTCTCCTCCTACACAACAGTGTCAGATCTATTGGGATTCTACAAGTTCTGAATGCCAGAGGCAGCTGCATAACCACCCAGAGCTCTAGTCTCTCTCAAAGGGAGAGTTTCTCCTTCTAAAACCTGTTTCAGAGTCTGAGGACTCTTGAAGAGCTCCATTCCTGATGAGGTAAGTTTAGCAGAGTCTCTCTGCCCCTCTCTCTCAGAGGCACATGCTGACTAGATCAGAGAAACTAGGCTGATGGAGGGAGTCTCTAGTGAGGCCACAAGGATATAGAGATTGTAACTCAACTATTGACCCTAATAAGAAATGGTTTGTCTAGTAAAAAGAAAAATAAGTGCATCACAGGTCAAGCTCCAAATATTATAAGAATTAGACATTTGCAACTAGCCAGAAATAGTCAAAAAGGTCAAGAAAAAACTTTAGCTTTTTAAGTAGTATCCAAGGATGGTTAAGGCAGCTACTGACAAGCTACAGCGATTCCTAAGGATTGACTGGCTTTCCTTTCCTTCCTCCACTGTAAATAGCAAGGGTCAGGCATGGCTTCAGAGTAAGGCTACCCCTCATTAAGGTATTCTGGTCTGTACTTTGGTCATGTAAGAAACTTACAGCTTGGTTTGAGACACAGTCAATTCACACACAGGATCATATAGCAATACGATACATAGTTGGGGGAATCAGCAGTTTCTAGCATATATGAGAAGTCCTTTGGCTACAAAAAATTGGTGCATTAAGAGTCTAAAGCTGCCACTGTCATTTCAACTTACTCCTCTGTAATAAGTCCAAGCCCAAAAGGGATTAGAGAGAGACTTTGGTGTGGCACAGACCTGTTGCACTGAGTAGTCTATGTGTGTTGGGGGGAGGTGAGAATGGCAAAGAGATGGACCCTCAATTCCAGACTCCTCATGTTTAGTCTCTTGCCTATAGATCAGCAGACAGCAGTCCCAGGAGGAGCAGTCCCTCTGAGGCAGCTTGGAAACCACTCACATGCTCTGGGAAGACAGGGCTGAGCCTGGAGCAAGGAGGTAGGAGGAAGGGAGAGAGAAGATAATGAATGGGCAGATCCACCCTGATCTGTGATCTGTACTAGGATTGAGCAAAGCTCAGCTAAATTCTTCAGAGGCAGGAAAAGAGAGAGAAATACCCAGAGAACAACATAACCAGAGGACAGGGCTGGGGGCCCAGGGAGTAAAATCAGAAGACAGTTCATTCCTAATTAGTGACCCAGAATTCAAACTCTGCTGAGGTCCTGGTTGGCTCACTCTGGCTTGAGGAAGGAAGGAGCAGTGGGAACGCAACATACTTCTGTGAGTGTGGACCGGTCTCACTCAGACCACCCCTCCACACCCCACCCCTCCACACCCCACCCCACCCCCGCCGCCTAAAGGAAATCAAGATAAAATTCTTCCAGGGCTGAGACAACTGTTCTTTGGGGGGACGCGGGGAAAGAAAACGACGACAGACAGCACTTTCTGCTGCCTCTAAAAGAGAAGGGAGACAGGTTCCTTCATATCTGGCAAGGACCCTCCAGTTTTCGGAGCAGGGGGAGCGGAACTTAAGGTCCCTCTCTCCCATAACTGAACTGGACAGGCCAGAGGAGAACCGCAAAGATTTCCCTAAGGCCCACGCGAAGGACAGGTAAGCGAAGTAAAGAAGGGCTCCCCTTTTGGCCCGACGCCTGGAGAGCCCCTTAAGAGGGGGCTACGGGTCGGGGGAGGGGTCAGTATCCCCTTAAGCTGGGGTTGGGCGGGAGGAAGCGGTGCCCGGGAGAGGCTTCAACGCGGGTGAGACAATAGTTCTGGGACAGGCACACTCACCGCGGCTCCGGGGCGGCGGCGTTACTTGGGGCCGGGGCTCGGACAGACTCTGCTCCTCTCCCCCCCGGCGGTGTCCCAGGCTCCGGCCTCCACTTCCGCCTTTCAGCCGCTCCGGATCCGGATCTCCACCTCCGCTCCGCCCCTCCATGCTCTCAAGTGACTGACAGGGCGGGGAGACCAATGGGAGGCACTCATGGCCGACCCACAGGCGACGCGGGAGGGGGCCGCGGGAGAGGAGGGAGGGCGAGCGCGAGAGGTGGCGGGACTTGTAGTTCGCGGCGCTGGGAGAAGCCGGTGGCTGCCTGGGACCTAGGCTTAGGGTGTATTCCGCTGCCGGCGGGGCGGAGTCAGACCAGGCCTGTTAACCGGTTCCAGGCACCCAGAGGGAAGGCGGATGGTGGAGCACTGGAAGAGGACAGATGGAAAGGAGAAACATGCTATGAATGAAAATGTACAAGAGGCCTCGTGTACCAGTCCTATGCACTCACTAACCCGGAGAAACCCCTGTTCGTACTTTGCAGCCAAGTCAGCTCTAGGAATCCGATTTTGGAACATTCAGTGACTGGAATGACGATGGAAGTTTATAGGAAAAGTTTTCTGGAAAATACTAGGTGAGATCAAAGAGAGAGCTTCTGCCACCTCGCAGGCATAAAAACCTCCTACTTTGGCCCAGCTTAGCTTCCGATCACAGATCACACTAGGATTCCTGCCTCTCCCCACGCCCAATCAGAACCAGCTCTTCTCTGATGCCAAATACAAAGAAACAGACAACATTTGCCCCTGCACTCTCCATCCATTAATATGGACTAGAACCCATCTCCCCTACCCCATATGGATCAGGACTATTTCTACTTCTTCTGCTCCCCTCAATACAGATTAGGACCATTTCAGCTTCTGTTCACTCCCTCCCTCCCAACATAGGCCAGTGCCTCCTCTGCTTCTGCATTTCATCAGGGACATTACTCAAAATCTGTTTGGAACCAAAGCCCACCCGAGACACGGTGGCCATTGTGTCTATGACCCTAGCTAAAACAGTCATACTCTGGAGCCTGAGCTGGAGAATGGAACTAGGACAACCCCCCACAAGTTTGTGCCCACACCTTGTTCCATCTGAGTGTCTTGGGTTTTGTTTGTTTGTTTTGTTTTTTGATTATTATTATTTTTTTACACAAATGGAGCACAACTTTTCATTTCTCTGGTTGTACATGATGTAGAGTCACACCATTCATGCAATCATACCTGTATATAGGGTAATAATGTCCATCTCATTCCACTATCTCCCTCGCATCTTGTTTTTTTATAACATCCATAACCTGCCCCCCTCAACAGTGATCATCAGAGAAGTGAAAGCTGAGAGAAAAGAGAGGGCTTAGGAGGGAAGAGGAGATGAGGCTGAGTGGATTCCTAGCAGGTTGGGGCTCTTCCCCTGCCCTGCAATAATAGTTCCTTATACAGGAGAGGTAGGTAGTCCTCTGAGCCTACTTTTCCAAGGCTGGCAGTGGGCCTGACCCAGGACTGTCCCTCCCATATACTGTGTGTTTATTTGTGACTGTGACTGGGTGGTGGGAAGGAGAGTGTATAGCAGGCCCTTAGGGACTCATTAAGGTTTCTCCCTCATCCCTGGGGATCCCTGGTGGCGTGAATGTGGTGCCAAGTGGATTGGCTGGCGCCTTTGCCCTTCCTAGAGACAGCAACAGGCCCCCGGGGTATGGTGAGGAGTGACTGCTGGATTGGTTCCTCCAAAGCCCTGGGGCTCTCGGACCAACCCCCAGAAACAGCCAGAGCCAACAACTACAAAAATAAAAGAGTTTATTTCCTATCCAAAAGTGAGCCCAGGGTGCTGGGTGGGAAAGGAAAGCTGGAGACCAGGGCAGGTTTTTGAGAAGTCCAGGTCCTGAATGAGACCAGGTGGATATGGGGAAGAACAGGCTTGGCTGGAGTCTGGGGTTGGGGGCAGGATAGGGAGTGATTCTGGGAATGTTTTGAGTTGCTGGCAGCAGAAGAGACCACCTTGAGTGACAGCCTGTAGAGAGACAGAAACAAATGTTGACAGACCCAATCCCATGGGGAGAAACAGACATTACTGGGCCCCCCAAACACCCAAAGGGCACAAGACTTGGGAACCTACTTTAAGGTAGGGATTGCAAACTCCAATCACACACAGAGACCAGACAAAGAATCCAAACAAGAGAAGCTAACTAGGTATCAGGAGATGATCAAGAAATGTGGGAACTGCTATAAACCTAGCCACTTAGGAGGCTGGGGCAGGAGGATTACAAGTTTGAGGACAGCCTCTGTAGCTTAGCCAGGCCCTGTCTCAAAATAAAATAGAAAGGGTGGGAATATAGTTTATGGTAAAGCACCTCTGCATTTAATTCTCAGTATAGGAAAAAAAGAAAAAGAAATGTGGAGCCACAAAGAAATGGGGACTTTAGATCCCATCTAGAGAGAACAGCTGTACCAAACACCAGGTGATTACTGATTATTGACAGATAGATGTTGGCAAAATGTGGCCAGATGTCCTACATGTTTTTTAGAGAAGCTAGAGTACTAGATTTTCATGTGATTCTGTCTTGATTTTTAATGTTGGCAGCTAATTTGTATTTTTGAAAAAACAAAACAAAACAAAAAACCTCTGAGAGCCAAAGAATACATTTCTGGTGGTATCAGTTGGTTTCCTGTGTGTGCTATGGGATGAGGTGGGCCCCTCCAGTCTAGGCTGACAGTGGGAGGTTTAAAGTGTCCTGGGTTGCTTAAATACCAACCAGAACCTGAAACCTAACCCTCTCAAAGTGACACTGCTCTCAGGGTCTCCAGCAAAGGATCCAGGAACTGGGACAGAGACCTCACAGGGTCACTGAGCTGTGTCCCAAATGGAGTTCTACTATCTGTCTCTCTTGCTGAGTCCTGAACTCGCCTCAGCCTTCGTTTCCCAGATTGGATCTGGGGCCCCTACCCATCCCCACTGCTCCCCAATCTCTACCTGCCTCTAAGTCCTGGAGAGAAAATAGGACATCTCATCTGCCCAGCCCAAAGGCACCACAGTCCATCTCATGCCTGCTGGATTCCACGGCCTCAGGTGGCTCCCCTCACAGAGAAAGATGAGGGAAGATTTGGAAAAGGGAACAGGGTCGAGGTGACCACGCTTTGTTAAAAAGTCCAGAGAATCCAGAGCCAACCAGACCAGCTGGTGGCTGCTGACCCCGAGGCAGGAGGCCAAGGGGCCCAGCTCCTCCCTGGATAGCAGGCAGCAATGCCCACCCCAGACAGGCCTGGGCCTGGGGCCGGGGTCAGTGGAATGTGTCTGACCTAGACTGGTAGCTTTGCCTCAGAAGGCTTGGGGTAGGGGGTGAAGCTTCTGGCGTTGGGGAGGGTCCCAGAGGGTCAGGCTCTGAAGGATAGGGGGCCAACATGGAAGGTCTCAGGTCCATCTCCTCTGTTCCCACACTGGCCGGGCAGTGGACCTCAGCAAGCGTAGTATCCTGGAGGTTGGGTGGTGGTCCAGACACACAAGGAGAGATGTGTGGTGGTCTCTGCTGGGGATAAGGAGGGCCCGGGGGCCAAGCTGAGACTGCTGGGTGGCCTGGGGGACCCAGCCTGGCCTGCAGCAGGCCCATCACGTGCCGCAGCTCCTGGCTCAGCTGAGACACTTCCTGGTTGAGGCGGGAGATCTGTTGAAAACACAGCAAGTTGTTTCACAGGTGCTACAACAATAACCAGACACACCTCCCCTCCCCCTACAGTTTGCAAAGCTCTTCAATAAAAGATCAGGCCACCCTGGGAAGAAAGCAGGGAAGGGGTATTTTTGGACTAGAGGTAAATAACCCAGGCTCTTTCCAAAAAGGATTTTGGGCAGCAGACACTGCTATATTATCCCCTCTCCCTTGCTTTTACAAGATGTAGAAAAATGTGCTCAAAGAGACCCATGTAGCTGTGAAGCAATAGACACATCAAGTGAACCCATCACACGAGCTCAAGTGTTTACATCAATGCTTTTCAAAGTAATGAGTGCAGAATCAATTGAGAAACTTATCAAAATGCAGATTTCTGGGCCTCGCCCTAGACAGCCCAAATTGGGTACGGCCCAGGAATCTGCATTTTAACAGGTGGTTCTGAGAGATACTCAGGTTTGGGAACCACTTGCCTAGAACCTTACAAAACAGGGGCTGGCCTCACTCAGGGCCCAGGACCCTCTCCAGCCCAGGCTCCACCCTCTGGAGTGCCTGCTGTTTGTGAGAGCCCAGGGAGAAGGAGTCCCAAGGGCTGGGTCTGTTCACTCTGTCCTGACAGCACTGCAATCTCTTGGGGAGGAGGTAGAGGTAACACCTTGACATAGAGGATCTGGGCTCTTCCTTGTCAGGACTCAGTCATCTGGGCCCAGATCCTCAGGCCTGAAGACCTCTCAGCCTCCCTGTTCTCTGGCCCCAACATACATAGCTGCTAGACCCTCATTTCCCAGAGTTGGGTAAGGGAAAAGGACTTGAGTATCAGATTTAGTTGGATGGCCCCAGGCAGGAGAGAGTCCCGTGGGGGCCAGGGAAGTTGGAGAAGAGGTCCTTTTTCTTTGCAGGCTGGAAACCCTGAGCTAGTTGGAGGGGTCACCAACTGTTACTGAATATCTGTGATGAGCCAGGGACTAGACCAGGCACATATGCACTCTCATCCTTACAACTCTGGGAAAAACATGTTATTATTTTTCCCATTTTTTAGGTGAGGAAAATGAAGTTCAGAGTGGTTATGTGATTCGCCCAAAGTCATCCAGCTAATGTGACTTTCTGAACTCCAGAGCCAGACTTGCTTTCCAATTCAAGGTTGGAGGGGGAAAGCCAGCCCCAACCCACCTCCTGGTTCAGCCTGCAGACCTTTTCCTTCACCTCCTCAGCCTCAGTGGCCAATTCCCGGCTGGGTCTGGTACCTGCAGAATGAGGTGAGGGAATGCAGGCAAGTTCATGAAGCATGAATATCTGAACATACAGCTTGGGTTAGACCCCTCTGTCACCAGGCAGGCAGGGAGCAAGAAAGAGAGAGTTCTGGGGTCAGGGAGCTGACCCTAAATTCCTTAGGCTGGTCGTAAGGCCCTGTAATTTCTCCCACCCTCCCCTGCTCTTCCATGCCTGATCCCACCCCCCAGTTCTACACATGGAGCTTCTCTCTGTCATCTGAACAAAACAGCCCTCCGGTTTGCCTGCCTTCATGTCTTTTAACAGTTATGCTGTTCCACCAAAGTCCTACCCACCCTTTAAGAAGCAACTCAAGTGTCCCCTCGTCTACTATTATACAGTCCTGTTCTTGTCTCAATCACGGAATTTAGCACCTAGTTCTAGAATTGTTTATCTATGTACACTGGTGTCTTCCCACTAGAAAGGGAGCTTCACAAGAGCAAGGGCTCAGTCTGGTTTATACGTGTGTTCCCAGGTGGCGCCTGACACAAGGTCCATGCCTACTGCATGTGGATGGATGGAGGGATGAAAGGATAAATGGATGGGTGAATGTGAGCTGAAGTGACTGCTGCCCCTTACCTGTAGAGGGGGCCTGCAAGCGGGGCCTTGGGGGCTCAGCCCTCCTGCTGAACCGGAATGTAGGGGCCTCAGCTGTGCTGCCAGAGTCCTCAATGCCATCCACTATCCTGAGGATGGGGCAGTACTCATCAGCCCCGTGGGGAAGGCACAAGGGCCAAAACAAAGCAGGCGGAGAGCGAATGAGCGAACGGGGCAGCAGAACCGGGGAGCTGGGAAGAGCAGTGGTCAAAGCAGGATGGGGCTGTAAGCTGTAGTTGAAAGGGTAGGGTGGGCCAATGGGGCAGAGATAGGAAGGAGCACTGGTTGGAATGCTAGGGATGGAGGCCATAGAAGGTTCTGGAAGCCATCAGGGATATGGGAAAGGCAGGGAAGGCTGGCATCTCACCGGGGACTGAGGTCCGGAGGTCCAACGGTTCCCAGTGGGGGAATGAGAAGCTGGGGAGGCTTCCAGGCAGTAGTGCACCTGGGGGGGGCATGGGGGGAGGGGCTCTGGCCCCGGCCAGCCAGGGCAGGGGAAGTTGATGGGGACAGGGAAGGAGAGGAGACAAGGGCTGAGAAGGGGGGCAGCTCTTCACCCAAAAGGCTGACCAGAGAGCCCCGGGGCCGTGCTGGGCTGAGATTGGGCAGCAGGAGAGGCCGGCGGGGTCTGGGACC